TCTTATCTGCCCGTTGTAGATGCCTTGCTTTTTTTTTTCAAGCCACGTTCATGATTCGGTAATCCTGTTTTGTTAGCAATGTCTACAATAAAAACTAATTACAAACAGACGTTCATAACATATTGTATATAATCAAGTATCATCAACCACCACAAAATATTATTTTCAAGTATAAAACTATAGATACTATTTTTAAGTTTCGTCGAAACATTCCAAAAACTGTCTGTAACATACAAACCATCCAAAAATCTAGTGTTTCTAAACATTCAAATACGTATCGCTTCAATCTCACAAAATCCGCAAAAAGCTCGAAAAAATCATCGCCGCTCCCCCCCACAAATTAGATAGAGAGATATAGAGAGAAAAAAAACAAACCTGTTTGATTGAGTTTTAGAAGAGCGTTTTATAAAAAATTCCAAAAAAATTGTTTCGTTGTGCTTTATGAGGTTTTCTCGTAGCCAAAAAAAATTCCAAAAATCACTTCTCTCTTCTCTTACAACATTCAACGTCAATCACTATTTTTTCTCTTCCGTCTCTCATCTTTTCAATCACTTTTTTCTACTCACACACATCTACTCAGAGTTACAACAAAATATTCAAATCATTCTCAAACTCCTAACTTCAAAACTACTTTCAAAATATACAACCAAACAAACCAAAAAAATTTCTAAAACAACTCTCCCAAATTTTTTTCAAAAACAATTCTCCCAAAAACAAACCAAACAAGCCCTATCTTTAAGTTCTAAACGGTAAAAAATTTACCCAAATATCTTCCTGCGAGTGTACCATCATGGATTGATTCAATTGCATCAACACCGGGCTTGTGCCGCCCATATCTTTATATTAGAAAATTCCTAGTATCTTGGATTTCGTCTTCAAAAGTTTTCCTTCTTAGAGCAACCAAGCTTGAAATAACATCAGTAGAAAGAGTATATATTGGATCATAACTATGGATAAAATAATCCCACCCAATAAAATAAGATAGCAGCTCATACCTGCATGAATTAAACCGATTTTATTACTCCATAACAACAATTATAAAGTTAGCACTTAGCACTAATTTTTGCCTAGGATAGCTCTAATTCCAACTCCTACAAAAATTTTAGAGGTTGCCTCTTTGCTACATAGCAAGAAAGACACTTTATATTATTATCTACCAATCTCCTCCTGATCCTATGTAAATGTTTCCAAATTAGTTAACATAATTAAACCAAGAAAAATCATGTTGAAGAGGGAAGCAAAATGAGGCTCAAGACAAGAAAAGGAGGGAGAACAAACCCTAATGTTGAAAGAGACTTGATATTAGTAGCTTCCTTCAAACGTTCACCTTTAGCACTAGAAATCTTCTGCCTGTGATAAAAACAAAAACAAAAAAAGATAATAAATTAGTTGATAAAATTTTAGGTACATGATTCAATCCTGTTATCAAACAAGAGGGCTCCACTTTCTAATTATTTAGCATACTTTATTCAATGATGTTACCTTTCAGAACCTGCTAAATCTACAAGATTAAGTCGAGCGAACAGGTGATGAGTTACCCCTTGGGATTCCCACTAAACATGAACCACCGATTAGAATTTAAACACCCAAATAAAAGCCACTGAAATAACAAAAACAACAAGACTGCTCACCTTACTTTCAATGATGCATGTAAACACACTATGAGAACGGCTACTTGCTAGATTCATATTAGTGGCAGCTACCTTTCTGTTTGCTGCTCCCTGAAGCATGATTACATTAATGGAAAATAGGATAGGTACGTTTGTTCTTTGAAAGACAGACATGCACCAACAACATGTAGATCATCCATTAGTAAGCATATATTCTGAATACCAAAGCAAAATAAACTAGAAATTATTAAAGTTTTATAAACTTGAGCGGGAGATTGAGGAAATCAAAATTTATTGTGAACATATTAAATCTAAATCAGTATTGATGCCCAAATTACCAATTTTAGCTCACTGTTTTCTGAATTCCATTTTCGCTATTTTACCAAAAACAAATGATATGCTGCCAACAAAAGCCAAATTTTGCATCTTTATACTTGTAAAGGTTGGAAACCAATTTTCTTGCTTCCTTCCATTCCTTCTCATTTCCAAAACAAGCAACTAAAGGCAATTATCAAACCTAATTATTCCAATTAACCATCACTACCATTTCAATAAAGAAACAGATCTAGATAGATGATCAATGACCTCTGACCAAGTCGAATTGCTGCAAGTCATTTAAAATATCAGATTCAATTCTATCGTAACAAACTGAGTAAGTAGTTCTAGACATTTGTATACATAAAATTTATTGACTTGCTGAGGTTGAGGATCAAGAATAAACAAGAAAATTAAGTGAAGCTAAATGCATACATGCACAAGCTGTTGAATAACATTCCGAATGCATTAGCTTGGTAAGTATCATACAAGAAAGCCTGCAATAGTTATTCATCTCCACAGTACATGCAATATGAAATCACTTTAACAAATAATGACAGAACATAAATTTAACAACCTTGATTTCAATTAAACTTTCAACTTAAATTCATGGGATAAGAACACAACTAACTGCATTTGAATATGTAACAAAACAACCAAGAAAGTTCAGTTTGAGGTACATTTTACATAAGTCCCACATAAAGTTTGTGCAAACATAATTGGTGAGCATAGAAGAAATTGAAGACATGTATGAGTGAATAAAAATACCTTTAGATTTTTATATATGAATCCCTTAGTGTTCTGTAGGTGGTCAAGAAGTCGGCCAGGGGTTGCTACTAACAGATTTACTCCTTTCACAATACGCTCAGCTTCTCCCTTGTGAGCTGCACCACCAATAACCATGCCAAGAGTCTGTGAATGATGATTGAGAAGGTCCTTTGTCATTGCATGTGTCTGCATAATTTCATTGGAAGATTAGTCCAGGTCGTTACTTAGAAAAAATGACAATCCATTATAATTGAATGCAACTAATTTGGAAGATGTATATATATAGAAAGCAACAAGACCCCCAAAACAAAAGAAGTGTTATTAGAAAAGATGAAGTGGATTATCTTTCTTTTCTTAACGATTCAAACCAAATGGAATTAAAATCAGTGGAGCGTAAAACACGATTTCCAAAATTAGTAGAAAATGATGAAAAATAATTCTTGAGAAGAGCTTAGAAGATGATCTAACACAGACAACACGAAGTAACTACCCAAAAATAATATTCTAAATGCGCTTTAAGATTGAGAAAGAGTTGAAATGATGAAGGAAAAATACTTCTATAATCAATATTAACCTTCTAGATTAATTATCTTTGCAGAAAGAAGGATAAAATAGGGATGGCTTTATTCTATAATGATTTTGTCTTTTCAATTTGCTTGTTTAGAAAGTACAAATATCACAAAAAGAGTTGTAATCGAGAGGATTATAGTGTAGGATTAATAATTGGAATCACATCACAGGCTATCTTGGGAAAAAGATTGACATTGATAAGTAAAAAAAAAATAAAAATAAAATAAAAACCAGAATATTTACCTGTATGGCAAGTTCCCTAGTTGGGCAATTGACAATTACCCCCGTTCAGATTTGATGTAACAACTCCACAGCAGATATCAGAAAAGCAAGGGTCTTTCCAGAACATGTCCTTGCAGCTCCAAGAACATTTTTGCCTTCCAAAAGTGGCGGAATAGATCTGGCTTGGATCTGCAATTGGAATCAGAAGTTAACTCAGGGATATATGTTCTATCTAAGGATATCCATATAAAGTAAACAGTTATGACAATACAAATATAACAATCAGCATATCAAATTTACATACAAATAATTCATGCTCTCTGTTTATAAAGAGATAGGTAATTCATTATGTTAAGAGCAAATTATGTTAACAGCAATGATCAAACTTAAAGATTCATTTACATACAGGAAGTGTGTAATAACATCATGGAGTGCTAGAAAATTCAGTGAACTAGGTTTTTTTTATTTTCTGTCAATGACAATAGGTGAATAATGGTATGCCTCTTTTATAATACATGAGAACTGGGATTCCATTAACAGGTTGAGACTTAGAAAAAAGCATTTCAAATCTTTTCCTATCACCTCCAGGCATACAATTTGGGCACATATATTTTTTGGATTTTAATTATTAATTCTCTAGTTACTACTAGAATGGGGAAAAATGGAAAACAAACATTCATATTTGTTTTTTTCCTTTGAAAACTGTAAGAATGTGAATATCTAGTTAGTAAACCATGTTAGTAGTATCTCAGGATATTCTTTTAGTCTCAAAATACAATGAATATGAGCTACGAGTCCTCTACAACCAACAGAGTACAACATAAGGGCATTCAATAAGGAATGTCCCAGAACAGCAGATAAGGATCAAAACCAATCACAATGCTTCATTCAGCAACCAAATTTAGTTGCCACTTGACCTTAAGATATGTGACAAACAACCAAATCCAGCATTCCTACCTTGCACAAGAAAACCGACACATTACATGGATTTAATAGATGGCGATCAACAGTATTCTGACAATGGCAGTAGTTATTATTATTATGATTATGCAAGAAAATCTTGAAAACTAAGAGAAGTTAAGTCAAGTTTAGTGTTGCAAAGAATGGAAGCATTTGTTTTGGGGTTGCTGTTTCTTTTACGCCAAAAATTGTTGACACGGAGATTTCTACCAATCAAGCCTTTTTTCTTTTTCCTTTTTTTTTTTTTTTTTTTTTTGAACTCGGAAATGCCCTCAGGCTACGAAGGAATGGGCAGCTCGGTTGACAATCAAGCCACCTTGAACTAGAAAATAGGCTAAAAAAAACCATCCCACAAAAACAGGGTTCCAAACACCATAAAAATGAGGTCAAATAGATGGGAACCCATACCATTGACAGAAATTTATGAAAAGGTAACCATTGTCAAAAAGTCTTGCATAGCATGATATGACAAACTGTAACATTTTATAGAGAAACCACATTTAATTGATATAGATACCTCCGTTCGTACATTGAACAGGCAAATAATTACTACAAAACTTCAGGTGAAAGACATGTTGAATTTATTCTTGGCTGAAAATAGATTACCTGGGACAAAATTTGCTGCTTGTTCCTAATTTGAGTCCTTGCCTTGTTCGTGACTGAGTTAGGTGACTTGTAGAACCTCTGTATGAAAGAATAAGTCGGATTAGAAGGAAACTAATAAAATATAATAAAGAAAAAAAATAGATGTGTGGTCTCTGGGTTTTCAAGAAACACAAAAAGCAAATAACAATGGGCTTAGGTTTGTGTAATCTGACATATTTATTTATTTTTAGATATATTTTTTGGGGTTTTCATATTTCAATTGTATAAGCAAATGGGGTTTTCTTTAATCCACGTCAATCAAATTAATTACAGGAGGCAAAAATTAGAGGTTTAGCAAATTCAAGGCGAAGAAACTATTGAGAGGTTGAACAACGAAGGGGCAAAGATCTGAGAAGTTGAAAATTATAGTTAGGGTTTGGAATTGGGGGAACGAGAGAAAGAGAGAGAGAGTTTACCTGATACAAGAGGTTTGAAAATCGAGAGGATTAGCAATGGTACCGTGTAGGCAGTTCCACGCACTGCCACCGAACCTCCTTCATCTCTCCACCGAACCCCACTGCTGCTCCAACGCTGCTTCTGTTTCGTTTCGTGTTAGCCACCTTCTTCATGTTTGCTTTCTGCCTTGGTCAGTTCGCCGCCGACCTCACGGTGGGGAAACAGGGCGGCGCCACCACGGCATGAGACATTTTTGGTGGTGGCGGCCTAGGTTTGTGGTCATATGAATGTTGGAGAGAAAGATATATATATTTTTTTTTGAAGTTGTACCTTTTATAACAGCAATTGCGTGTCATGGAAAGTGTAATATTTTAAACAGCTAGCTTTTTGTGCGTCGTAGAAAGTGTAATTTTTGAACGGCTGGCTTTTTGTGTGCCGTAAAATGTTTAATATTTTTAACAGTTGATGTACGCGTGTAGTGTATAATTAATGTATTGATGGCATGCAATATGCACGTCATAGAAAATTGGATTATTTACAGCTAACATTGCAAGTCATAAAAAAATTATCGTTATTAGCATTCATAACCTACGCAATAGACATGTCGTGGTTGGGAAATTATTTACGACATGCAAAAAAAAAGTCTAAAGTGAGAAACTACAACTTGCATTTACTGTATGTCATGATGTGACGCCGCAAAAACCCAGTTTTGTTGTAGTGCATAGCAAAGACTTGCTCACTCTAACTTTAACTTGTTGATCATGGTAAATCTTGACCACAATTAACATGTCATCAACATAAAGTAAAAGAATAATAAATTTGTCATCCGAAAATTTCTTCACAACATACAATGGTCCGAAGTGGTTTTTAGAAAAACCATTCTTCATCATAAAAGAATCAAATTTTTGTACCATTGGTTTGTGGCGCTACCATAACAAACTTTTCTTAAATTTGCAATTAAATTTTTCTTTCCCTTTTTTCACAAAACCCTCCCGGTTGCTTCATGTAAATTTCTTCTTCAAGATAACCATGAAGATACAGTTTTCACATCAAGTTGCTCAATTTTAAGGTTCATACTTGCAGCCATGCCAAGTATAACCCGAATAAGAAGAACATTTTCACAACCAACGGGAAAACTTTCATCAAAGTCAATACCTTTCTTTTGCCCAAAGCCTTTCACAACAAGGTGTACCTTGTACCTTAGATTCTTTCCATCATTTTTCAATTTGAAGACCCACTTATTTTTTAGAATTTTCCTCCCCTAAGGCAACTTCATCAAATCATAAGTGTGATTTCAAGTAAAGAATTTATTTCTTCTTCCGTGGCCTTTTTCCAATCACCTTTCTTTGCATGCTCAATTGCTTTGTAGTAACTCTTGAGCTCCCATTGATTGGATATCAACACAAATTCATTGGGAGGATACTTTTTTGAAGGTTGCCGGTCCGTTATAGATTTTCTCAACTCAAGTTGTGGTGGTGGTTCTTGAGTTGGATTCTTTTCCTCAATTTCGAGTTCAACTTCATTTGGGGTAGCATCATAATCTATATCTTCAAGAGCTGGCTACACATCTCTCCCATTTTCATCATCCACTGAAGAAGAAGGGGATGGATCCTTGTCAATAAGATCATTAGTTTTTGGCTCCGATTGATCACCTTTGCCAAAATCTTCAATTGTTTGGCCTTCAAAAAGCACAACATCATGACTTCGAATAACTTTCTTGTCAATCGGATTCTACAATCTATAACCAAATTCATCATGCACATAGACAAGAAAAATGCATTGTTTTGACTTACTATCAAGCCTTGACCACTCATCCTTTGGAATGTAAACAAAAGCTCGACAACCAAACACTCTCAATGTGACACCCCAAAATATTTAAAATGTAATTTGTTTTAATTTAGGGATTTGTGGCAAAATGTAAATTAATTGACCATCTCATCTTCCCTCAATCAACAATCTATATTTATATATATATTATTTAATTATATTAATATAATAGAAAGTCAAACAGAAAGAGAAAGATGGTGACAAAAGAAGAAAAAGAAAGGAATGAAAAAAAAAGAAAAAAAAAAGAAATAAAGGAAAACATGTGTGGTGTGGTGTGCACCCTCGTGGTAAGCCATGAGGTGTAGTGAACTCACCTATAAATAGGTGAGTTCGAACTGAATGAAAACACGGAGAGAAATGAGAGACAGTGTAGCAAAGAAGAAATAATATTAAGGTGAGTTTTATTATATTTTGAATTATCATAAATTATTTTATGTAAATTATGTTTTATAAATTATATTAGTTTTTAAGTATGTAATTTGTTAAATGAACCCTATTTGTTTAAAAAGGAAAATCCAAAGATATAACTATTTATTAAATGTGTTTTGGATAATTATTTTGTAAGTAACACCACGGAGGTCCCATGTCTTGGGGTACTTAAATAACTATCGGCCCTCTGAATTGTCACTTTATGTGACCATCTATTCTGTTTTGTTATCACTTTAAGTGATCCTCTATTGTCATGGATCCACTAACCCTCTGATTTCTGGTGTGGAGCAAAGTGTTGTGTGGAGCTAAGCGCTACACTATTGTGAGAGTCACCTCTAAAATTTGTATGAGCCACCTCTTGAGTCCATACATCTGTTATTGTAGACACCATATTTTTGATTGTCCTCAAGACTTGGACGTCATTGTTTGTACACTTGATGATTATCCAGGTTTGTGTTTGTTTTGAGCGCCCGAAGTCTTCGGTGGAACGCCTTGTCTTTGAGCCTCTAAACCTATCTGTTTTGTGCATGTTTTTGGACCAAGAGCTTGTTCCCTCTTGCTTGGAGAGAAGGGTGACCTGTTGGCTAGCTCTGGGACTTATCGGCCATAGGTTATGTATGTCGGCCACTGGTGATGGCCGACGGCCACCAGTGGTGGGCAACGACCATTGGTTTCCTTTTTAAGATATTTGTTTGCCAGCTGTGCCAGCTGTTGCTCACTGAGCTGCATCTTCATACACGTGTATGATAGGATGTATACAAGCTCAAACCTTGATTTTCTATATATAGGGGGTGTCCTCCCCTATTTTGGAGGGTTAGACATTTTAGACCAAAAATCTCTCTCTCTCTCTAGAATTTTCTCTCTCTCTTCTTGTTTTGTGCCTTAAAGTCTAGTTTCTCTACACTTTTGCACATCAACCCTTGATCAAACTTGACCACAATTGAGCTGAGGTCCCTTGGAGTTGTGTTTGAGCTTTGGAAAGGGGTTTGAGCTTGAATTTGTGGCTGAGTTGTGCTTTGCTTCAAAAGTGAAGAACTTACCTCATTTAAGCTTATTGTGCATACTTGTTTTGCCATCTTTTTCTACTATTTTAAGATTGTTTTTGAAGTGAAAGAAACTATATTTTTGAGGTATAAAAGTGGTGGTTTGAGCCTTTGTAAGTTAGGGGGTTGTCCCCCATTTTGCTCCTTAGCTTGTGGGGCTTTTTGTGTTATTTTTCATCACATTTAAATCATACTTTTTGGGCCTTTAAACCATTGAAATTCATATGTTTTTAGTGACAAAAATCTTATTTTGAAGTCCAAAATTAAAGGGGTTAGCCTCCCCTCCTTGGTGTCTTGCTTGCATGCCTAGTTGCCTTATATGTTAGCATGTTTTTATAGCCTAACTTAGCTTAAGTCCAGCATTGTTTTGCTACTGTTTTGACTTGTTTTAGCTCTGTTTGGGGCTGGTTAAGTCCTTTGAGCTTTGTCTTGCATGGTTGTAGTGTTAATTCCTTCATTAGCTTGATATTGTAATGCTATGATCATCATTCTTTTGAGTTGAAAGCATGTTTTAGTGTTATTTTGCACTACATTTCAGCACTGAAATCTCTGCAATCTCCCTCTATACTTCACTTTTTTCGTTTGCTTTGAAAGTGGTTTTAAACCATTTGCTTGCTTAAGTGTGAAATTGAGACATTCATGCTTAATGGTTTAATCCCTTCGGGGGTTCATTATCAACGGCATGAGGTCTCTTTTATGCCCAAGGCACTTGTGGTTTAAGCTCTCTTCCAGTAGAGGATATTCACTTTTGGACTAATCAATTAAAAAATGGATCGGTAAGCTAAAATGTGTAAACAAAAATGAACAAGTAAAAGAGGCAAGATAAAGCATCTTCGTGTTGCATTTCATGTCTTCGGATCGGACGTTAATTCGAACACAAGGAAAATGAAACGTTTCATACTCAAAGTGATGAAACGTGCCACTTTCCTTGGTCACCATCACCCTTGATCATGCATGATAGGGTAGTGGTTTAGTTGAGTCTTGTTTTGTACTCATTGAGCTTGTACAAGCTTGGTTCCTTAGCCATCATGCATGGAAAATGCTTGGTTAATGGTTTGAGGGCCAAGAATTACACTCCTTTGAACTTGTGTAATGATAAGGAGGGTAACAGCACACACACTCCTTGAGAATATACTGCTTTGCCTCTATTTGCTCTCTATTGCAACAAGAAAGGAAGTTCAGGGCAGGGGTGGCTGACAGCCACCAGCAGTGGCCGACTGCCACCAATGGTAGCCAACAGCCACCATTGCTAGCCGACCGGCCATCAATGAAAAAGTTGCTCAGAGTGATGGAAAAGGGGAGCAGAGGTGCTCTGGAAGTTGGTGCAATTTTCAGTGATAAAAAATGTGCAAACAGAGGCTGTAATGGCAAGGCGGTGGCATTTTCGAGTGGAGAAGCCGAACATCCATGCATCCCTCGCCCCTCGAGGCCATTTACTTGCTTTGTTGAATTAGTTAGTTGTAGCTAATTCTTTCATACAAGTGTTGTAACTATTTAGTTAATTAATTCATTTTGTAAATTAATTAGCTTAATTTGATTTGTAATATTTAATTAGCTTAGTATAGTTAGTTAAATATTGTGTTGCAATAATTTTTAGCTTAGCTTAGATTAGCTTAGCTTTTATTCATTTGGACCCTCCTTCGTGAGGGCATAATGTTGTAATAAGTGTGCGTGCGTGTGTGCATGTCTTCCAACCCCACGTCTTTCTCCCTTTTATTTAATCGCTTTTGATGGTTAGATTAGGGACATTTTTCAATTAGCATACCTTATGCTTGCATGATTGCATCCATTCATTTGTCTTGCATGCACCGAGGCTCGGCGTATCATTCAAACTACATTGCAATTCAATACTTTGAATACGTGTTTCAAAGCATGCTATCAAAGTGTTGCAAATACCATGATTAAATAACCGAGCCTATTTAGTTGCATCATTGCATGTGTTGCATTAGGCACTTAACATAGTTAGGATCATGCATTTTTCTAACTAGTTTTTGTTTTGGCTTGGAGTACTCGG